AAAAATTATCTACAAACTCTGATATGAAAGAAAATCTTCAGACTATCCTTTTTACTCATTTATGCGTAAAAACAAAAAAGTACATGCTTTTTACGGCCCGCACTGTAGCTATTACCATCAAGAAAAAAAAAACTGAAAAATACAAACTGCTCTAAATATATAGATAAGAGTTAATTCAATTATTATTATTATACAGAAAAGTTTGTTTAATTATATGACAGTGAAATCAATAGTATTGCATTTACTGACCTAACATACATTTATATAACAGTTTGTGATCTATTGATTTATCTCAATGCAACTTTTAATGGGGTAATGTTTCTCAGCAGTGCACTTATTTGCATCGAACTTCATTCTAAAATGCATTAAATACTTTCTGATAGCACTACAATTGATGAAACAATCCATAAATTATCATAACTATTTAGAATTTCAATTTTCTTTATCACTACACAAATTAATTGTGCATGATTCATACGTGTTACTTGTCATCATGTCACAAAAATAATTTAACACATGTTAATTTTTCAATTATTCTACTAAGAACAAATAAACTTTCAATCAGACCAGATTCATCATAAGTTTAATCAAAAAAAATTCACAACACATCTATAGAAAACAATATTAATTAGAATTCACTGCTTCAACGCTATTTCGTCCATGTATATGATTTGTTTTTTATACGTCGTCACACTTCATATAAAAGAGACAATTTTTATGTTACCTTTTCTATTTACGCTACAAAAAAAGCATTCGATGTCAATTACCTGCTAGAAATAGATTAATTGCATTTGCACACAAAAAAGAGGAAAAAAAACAGAAAAGAGCAGCATTTATGGCTTAATTATGTGCATGACTGACATGTATAAATGTGGAAGATAATGAACCATATTTAAACGAATCTTTCTTTCTTGTATAGTTAAATCTAGTCAATGTACATTTATGACAGCTTGATAGTTGCAAATGACTTTATCGTTCACAAATGTAGTGATTAATAAATTAATGATCGTCTTCAATCAGGCGCAGGAACAAAGTGTATGAAACTCAGAGAAAAAGAGAACGGCAAAAAAGTTAACGCTTGATTGACGTTGCTGAGTGTCAATAAGCATATTGCATTTGATTTTTGCTTATTTCTCTATTAGAATAAATAGAAACCTGCTTACACTCAAGAAGGGCTTGTATCATCATTGTATCCATATAAATGTTTAAAGCACATTCATTAGTTTGCAGTGCAGCAAGTGCTTTATCAATCATTTTTGGTGTTGTTCTTTTAATTGCTGGTTCCGTTTATATTCGAGACACCAGTTTTCTTCAAAGTTCATGGAATGAGATATATGCATTATCAATTTATAGTGTTGTTATTGGTATATTGACTATTATAACTGCAATTGGTCTTTCTTATGTTGTTAATCGTAAACTTCCAGCATTGACAATACTCTTCTCTGTTTTAATTCTTATTATTTTCGTCCTTGCTATGGTAAATCTCATTATTCTTGCAACAAATGTCGGCAATCTTGAAGATGATTCTTACAAAAAGACTGTAGATCTTTTTCGTAATTATTCAAATTCAGATTTGATTGTAAGTTCGAAAGGATTTTTTGGAAAAATTCAACAAACATTCGGATGTTGTGGTGTCAAAAATGCATCAGATTGGATAAACCAACTATTTAATGGATCAAGTACTCCTGATTCATGTTGTCATCAAATAGTTCCGAATTGTGGTTACAATGCTCTCATTGCAAAAGATAAAATCTATTTAAAAGGTTGTGCTGATCCAATTTATTTTTATCTTCGCACAAGATTTTGGGCACTTCTTACTATTGATACCATTCTTGTAATATTATTATTTATTAGTGCTATATCTGGATTTATTTCTGAACAATATATTCGAGAACAATATCAAGAGATGTAAAATAAGAATATAGCAAAACTATTTTCTTATATTTTGGACTGTTTAAACTCTATCATGATAAACAATCGATTTTCTTTCAGTATCTTGTTTTTTTTGGAAACTGACTTTAAATAGTTTTTATTTATTATTATTTTATTAACAGACAAGGAAAACTATTGAATATTAATATTGGTAAATATATGTAAAAAGAGAAAAAAAGCAGTCAATTATAGATATAGAATACAATTTCAAAGAAATATTCATTCTTCATAACGCTTTGTAAAACTATTCATCATTATTGACATATATTTTATATATGGATGATATTTTAGAAATACTTAATTTCGTAAACATCAATTATATATACAAATCAGTAGTGTTTGTATGTATGTTATTCAGAAGGTCATTTTATAATTTTCTATTGACAAAACTCAACGACGTATTTGACTTATTATCATTCATTATTGTATAAAAATATGAAATTTGTTAGACAAAAATAGCTGAGTTTGTTTAAACGATCTGTATTGATAATGTTTTCAGAACTTCCTATGCAATTGTATCTTTTACAATAAATAGTTAAAATTGACTAGAATCTTGGATGGATACGATTTTTCACAATTGAACGTGAATAGAAACTAATCGACATCTGGGAGATATTTTCACAGTCATAGTACGATTTTCAAATTTTTATTTTATATGAAAAAGTATACTATATAGTTTTTTCGATAAACATCAACAAAAAAAAAGAGATTATCTCAAATGTCACAAAACAATAAATGATTCTGGATTGACTTGATGTCTTTCTGCTTCTAAGACTCGACAGATTTCGCTAAATATACGTTTGCTGTTACTGATAACGCTAGAATAAAACGCTATGTGGATAACAAATTTCATAATTGTAGGGACATACATGATTGTGTTTTCCATCACGATAATACATGTTCACCTTTTTGATAAGTTATTTTTCTTTCCAGATATTCAGTTACTTCGTCATATGATTCATCATCATTTGTAGATCAATGCTCATTAAGAATGAATTCTTTTAGTAAAATAATGTCACTTTCCGCTTTTGTGATTTGTTCTCACGAACAATAAATTACTCAAGTTTTCACTCCTATGCTTTTATATAAATTAGCAGTTTGAAGAAGTATAAATATTTTGAAACGTTGAGATCTGAATAGTTTGCCAAGAAGAATCCTGAAATGGTCTCGTATCCGGATGTGAACCGACATTTGTTTCATGTCCGACAGACGAGTTTGTACCCAAAGCTATGCTTCGGACCCGAGTGCAGGAGGTTATATTTCACTTCTATATTTTGAAAAAGTAATTGATTTTTGACTAATAGATCCTTTTTTATGAACGAAAACTTATGGATATATTTATTGAAACCATATCAAAATGTTCAATAGATCAATTTATACCTTATCTTTTTCGCATCTCCATTGATGTCGTTGTAATATTCAAACGAATGTTTGCTTTTTAATAAATAAAATTCGATCTTATCAGTTAATTTGATCATGATTAGTATTTTCTGATGAACAAAAAATAAATATTCTAAATCACAGAAAGACTTTTCAGAATATTTACAATTGAAAAAACGTCTTGTTTGTTCACAATAAAAACAAGCCATCTTCTATTGTTCGTTTTTAAATGATAATGAATACTATTCACTAGTTAATACTGTTTCTTATTAATTCAAAGTTTATTACAGCTAATACATCGTTTAGAAAATGAAAAATATTATGTATGGATTTTGTCTATTTGATATGTTTCTTTTTTGAATGTAAATAGAAAAAAAAATAGTTTTATTAATATTTATCATTAAAACTTTTGCTAAATTTCTAATGATGTTTTTGTTAGTGTAAAAGCATTTCATTGCATGCTTGTTTTTTTGTTTCTACTTTCATTCATCGACTTCCATCTAATAATCAAAGCCAACTTTAGTTCTATGATCAAAACAAAAACCAGACCGTTTTGAAAATAACAACTGATTTTAGAAACATCCGATCTATAAATAAAAAGAATTAGAAATTTATCAGCGTATGGAATTATAGCAGAAACAATATTATTAAAAAAATGAATAAACCAGATAATAATAAATCTTAACGATAACTTAAGTTAGAACAAAAATATTAATGACCCTTCGTGTTATTCAAAACAATAAATCATATCGATAAACAATAGAGATATTTTCTGGATGAGAAAATACAAAAATCTTACATATTTTTCAACCTATATGATTAGGTAGGAAATAGAGCAGATCAAAGATAATTAGATGATAATAATTCATTGCTTAATTATATTGTATTCAAAATAAATCTTTTGGTATTTGAATCAAATGACTAATCTAGAGGGAAAACCTGATTCCAATCACAATAGTTATTGACAAGCGGAAGTTCCACTTGTTCCCTTGTTGCTTGATCCAATCAAACAAAAAATAAAAAATAATCTAAAATACGATGTACTAATTATGTTTTGATTATTTATAAATATAACTGACTGACAGGCGTTATGTTTAATAAAAAAAAAAAGTGTATAGCCTCCTTATCACTATTTCTTAATAATAGATGTCTGAATTTTTTTCATAGAACATTGGATGTTTTTTATAACAAACAAATATTGGTATAATGCTCTTTGCCATAGGAGTAAATAACAAATAAGCGAAAATTAATTAGACAAATGTTTACTCATTTTTTAACGTTTTTTTAGGAGTGCGCAGAAATTTGAAAACATTGAGTTAGAATCAAAATTTCGTGTTCTTTCCAAATATGACTTCAAAATTTTTGTAAGACTTATCGTTTAAGAATTATAAACCTATCTTTTAGAAGCCCATAAATTGAATTTAGACGAACTTTATCGCACCAAAACTTTCTAAAGTAGAAACAAAACTTATTTCAAATACAACAAATGAAAGATTAAATATTTCTCCATACATTAGTATATTAATGTTTAGTTAACTTTAAGTCATTTGCTAACAGCAAGTATTTTGATAAGAAAGACCGTGTCAATTTAGGCAATGTTCTCGATTTCTATAAAAAAAACTGACTTGAAAGGTGAGCTCGACTATTTCTCAATGATTCTGTAACATAGTACATTCAGTAAAAGAGACTATAGCATCAAAAAAAAAAGTTAATTGTCTCCTTTCAAACTTAATTTACGGGCTTCTAAAAGGTCAACACATTAATCAGAAATCAGTAGTCCTGCAAACATTTTGAACTCATACTCGGATAGAACACACAATTCTGATTCTAACCTAAAGTTTTCAAATTCATACAGACTCTCGGAAAAAGATTGAAAAATGATTGAACATTTTATCTATTTGCTTGTCGATCACTTGCTATTTTTAAAAGTGCAATATTATCGTTTGTACTAATGTTTGCATGTTTGTCATTATTCATATATGAGTTTCTATTCCTTGTAGAAATCATCATGGCATTGATAGTATTCACTTGTTGATCTTTTTTAAATAAAGATCATCTTTCGACAGTGTATATAATAATAGTAGAATTCCCATGCAAGAAAATTTCAGAATAAGGAGAACAATGAGTATAAGTCTCAGATGATGTATTATATTTGCTAAAATGAATAGATGAATTATCATGGTACCAATCAAAAGGATGTATAAACTTCATTACTACATTTATAGTAATTGAATGAATATTTGAATAGGGAATATAGAGTAAAACAAATTGAAACAATGACTTTTTATAGAATTTTAATTATTATTTTTTTTTGTGCAAATATCATGTAGGACGCTATGTGGAACGAAAATCAATGCATAGAGAAACAGTAGTTATTAAGTATGTGAATCAGTCTTTGCCTTTTCTCCAAAATAAAGATAAAGATAATCTTTATCTTTGAAGAAAAAAGTTATTAAATTTATACTTTAATAATACCGACCGAAAGCAAGCTTCATCTCGTTCATCAACACTACTACGATGTTTAATGTTATTATGAAAAAAAGAAGTCATATGTAGTTCTTTTTTTCTAAACCTAATACTATTTTACTGCTTTTAATGAATTGGAAAAAAGGAAAAAGAAATGCTATGAAAATCGAAGAGCTTCATATCGTTACCTGGAAGTAACTGAAGTTATTGATCACGAATGAATGAAAATGAAAATAGCTGCAGTTACTACATTGAGAACGATTTTAAAAAAACTGTTATTAATCTGAGTGCAAATAAAAGTAAGAAACAAGTACTGTTCAATGATGATGAAGAACAAGGTCCGCAATACTTCATATGCATTTTGCCTAGAAAGGATAGCGAATGTCATACAAAAAAGTTATTGACTTTTTAATTTACACAAAAAAAAGAAACATTGAAAAGAATTGGTTAGTTCTTTATTTTCTTCATGATTTTCAAATCGACAATATTCTCCATATGATAGTTCATTTAATTACAACTGTATTACATTGTGATCTTCTTTGTATTGTATATTTTCCGCTCAAAGAAAAGTTGATTTGTTTTTAAAGTAACACATTGTTAAGAAACATAAAATATCAAACGACTACAGTGTAGCAATAAGGATAAATTTATATGGGTTCATTTAATAACTTCCAAATAATGAATATATTTACGACAAAGAATGATTTTATATAAAAACAAAAGAATAGCATTATTTATTCATCAGAAAACAGCAATGGAAGGAATTCCTGTTTGAGTTCACGTTTCATTTCAGTTCTTCATCGGTTAGGAATATCATCTCTCTTGTATCGTATTCATTCATTTGTTTCTAATTGTCTTAAAATTTATTTCAAATAAAACATTAAAGTCGTGACCGGAATTTATTAAAATTTTCTATATTCGGTAATGAATATAAAAAGAAAAACTACTCTGTCTTGACAAATCTCTAGTTGAAGTAGAATAAAGAATATTTTTAGCAATGCATATATAATATTAAAAATTCAAAAATATTTCAAGGAAAAAAAAAGGAAATTACTTAGCTTTTGAACGGATTTACGGTAGAAATATTACGTTTTGCTGCATTATCAAAAAACAATCTTTATTTTTTACAAATGATTAAAGATGAATTGTTAAAAGATTAGATTTTTTATTTATATTAAATAAAAGATTGCTCGTTATTATAGAGGTCAAGAATGAGAACGTTTTTTATTTATTAGGTTTGTTTTTAGTGAGCGCACAGAATAAGTATTTCCACAACAAAAAATGCATTAACTTTTCAAGCTGAAAACTTTAGAAAGTCTAAGTTTGATGATTTTATATAGGATTTGAATGTTTTGTCTTTTTATAATCGCCAATTTCGTTTATCAATATTTGAATCAGCATCTTGGGCATCATCATTAATGAAACGATGATCATTGATTGAATCATAATGATGTGCATGAGGTGCTTCACGAAAAACAAAGCGACCACGTTTGTCCAATGGTTGAAAATGTTGAGCCGAAAGCCAGGCACCGTTGGATACTTTCCGAGCTCGAGGATAGTATTGATCATCAGCATTTACAACAGATGATGAAACCATAAGTAATAAAACAGCAATAGAGCATAAAACGAAGATACCACGTGAATTCATTGTTTTTCTTTCGTATAGTATATGCGCTGTAATGATAAATAAATAGAATATATATATATATAAGAATATATACGTAGACTATGATCTGAAATATGTAGCAAATAGACGACACACAGATAAAGAGAGTAAGCGAGAGAGAGAGAGAGAGCGAGAGAGAGTGAGAGAGAAAATAATCAAATAGCATGCTACACCTTGCTATTTCTATACTAGTGGCGGAAAGCCTATATAGGTGATTATATATGCTACGCATGTGATCCCCTCGCGAACAGTCATCTTCTATGAAGGGTAAATAATAGTTGCGAGAAAAAAGTAATGAAATGAATGAAATACACTGAGGAGAAGGAAAAACAGATACGTTTCGAAGTAAAAAAAAAAAAAGTAAATTGAGAAATGTCTTTTTAAGTCTGTTTTTTAACAAGTAGAGTGCAAAAAAAAATAATTCTAAAAAAAAGTATCAATGTATGAAGATATGAAGACAAACAGCATACCGACGTTCATGGTCTATATCAATGGCAGGAACAGACATCCAGATTGGAAAGATGAAATAATTTCTCGAACATATTTCTGAAAATGAGGGGGAAAGATGCTGCAATTATTATTTCTAGCGTGAAAAGAAGTTGTTTAATCTTCTACTTATAAAAACACTCTGATAACTTTAGACTTCTCTCGAATGATTAAAAGACAGAAATGCGTCACTACCAAGCTTTACATATATCAAAAGGCTTTCTCTTTTACAATAGCGAATCAATCTATTTGCTTTTTGAAATGTCGATTATGTTTTTTTTCCCTTTTATTAAATGTATGCACTTATAAATATTGTTGTCTCATATTGTCTTAAATTATTTATTTTATTATTTTTTATTGTTTTATAGTCTTTCTATATAATTTACAAATGTCAAATTGACAATTTTTTTTTCGTCTGGAGTTGGCATTGAAAAACAATCATCTTCAAATGACTACTGTGAGAAAGAGTTTTATAACTAAAACTTATTTAATTATATTATATTTTTAACAATTCGTTAAATAAAAGTATGATTATAGATTGATTAGAGAAATAATTATAGAAAACAATATATACTGAACAGAAAATCTCCTCTATTCAAAGAACTGACCAAAGAAAACAACAAATATACATTATCAAAATATTAAATAGATATAAAATCTATTCATATAGATCACATAAAAGTATTCTCATCTTACCGAAGCCATTAAAAATATGTAGGTTATCGCTGATCTTTAGTCTATTATCAGATATTTAACAAAGAAGTAAAAAGTAGTATGATTATTAATGCACTTTTCCATGTATTAACTGTACATAAGTGATACGAAAAACAACTAAATAAAGAGTGAAATAGTCAATAGCATACCTCCCCTTGTCTTCTTCTTCTTTTTGCGTCTGTTTCTCTTGCTTATTTGTTCGTACTTTTTTTCATTTGTCTTTTTCTTTTTGTTTCTTTCTTTTTTTCTATCTTGTATTCCATTATATGAACATAAAGTGACGAGAGAACAATGTAGGCTGCATAACTCCCAACCGGAAACTAAATTAGAAGAATCGCTAACATCAATTAGCCTGTTGGAGTTCGCCATTGTGATCGATTATTGATGATGAAAATAGAATTATAGTCGCTTTTCTTTTTCTATTCATATTATTGCCCACGTTTTTACCTGCAACTCATAATTTTGATAATTTTACTTTGGAAGCACTTTAATTGAATTTGTTCAATGAAATATTTTATAATAACTTCATTTTTCAATATTAATATTTTTAAGTTATTGAAAAATTTTATTGTTAAATAATAAAATATATTTCAGTCCAATAAATATAATAGAACAATTTCTGAATCATAATATCTTGAAGAAAAAATCAGATCTTATTTTTTGTAAATGTATATGTAATTGATTATCAATATGCGTCATAGATCGAATATATCGAATTCGAAAAGTAACAACAACAACCGAGTGACATTGTTTTGCTTGAATACTTACTATAAGGAAACGATTTCGAATGTTATAAAAAGTTCTTGAACTCAACATCTCATAAGCAATATATTTAATGCTAGAAATATTCGTTATAATTAGACCTTTTGAATATATTTAATTAATTTTTCATTTTATTCGCTATTGTTCTATTTGATAATGTTTAGTCATTGATCTAGTCGATTGCTCTTGGAATTTTTCATTGCTTCAATATACTGAAGGTATATATGTTTTAATTGGCTTTTGAATAAATCATATCGGTAATTTTATTTAACGTTTTAGAAACCAAAAGAAACACAAATAAAAATATCATGGATTGTATTATTCTTTTGTTCTTTTTTTTTTATCAGAAAAGTTTGATAGATTGTAAAAATGAAACATTCTAATTATTATTTTTATATCCCTTTTTTCTGCATGAGTAATTTTTTGTTTACTATTTTAATCATTCTAATAATGTGTTCCAGAGAAAAACTTTCCCTGGATGAATATTGTAATATGTAATTTAATCACAAGAAAAAGTTATATCTCAACTACATTTCATGTACAAAAAGTGTCACTAGACATAAAAGAGCCCTTGAATTGTTTCATTTTCTCTTTTTATTATATGAATGGTGTTTTCTTTTTCTATAGAAGTAGATTAATACCGGAAAACAATCGTATAAGTACATCAAAACAATTTATTTATCGATTATCTTGGGAATATTTTTCCATTGTTTGACGAATTTCCTCTGCACAATGGTTATCCTCTTTATAATTTTACCATAATTCTACTCGAACTCTCTCTGTAGTGTAGAATCATTCTGATGATTCCAAAACGATGATGATAATGGAAAGTTCTGAACTTGATTCTACAAGATCTTTTCTAAAATCATTATTTTGTAGAAAATTTTCTAAATGTTCTTTACATCTTTCATTTTTTTTATATCAATTTACAGTTTGATTGAAGTTTAAATGTGGGTTCAGTTAATCAATATGAACTACTTGATCTTGGCTTTGAATTTTTTCCTTAATCTTGTTCATTTATTTTTTTTGTGTAAAGAAAATAATTTTCTGATGATGAATGTCTTATTCTATCAAGGACAAATTCATACGGAAAAAAACTAGGTTTCCGGATGCTCTTTACCATCAATTAGATCCAGAATTACTCATTGAAAATTGAAACAGATGTTTATATAAATATTATCTAGAAAGGTAAAAGTTTCTTTTCAATATCAGTAAGTATATCAACATCAAGAATAATTTATTAAATAATGTAAAAGATAATTTCAACAGACCAAGTCTAATGAACTCAACAACTCCTCTATGATTATTATCTAACTAGTAGGATAGATACTTCTTGTTAAATAAATATTTACTTTCATTCGTTTCAATTTGATCTCAACTTTACAATAACAAAAACTCTATGTAAAAATAAACAAAGATTAAAAATCGATTATAATGGTACTATTATAATCTGATTTTAATCAGATTTTCAGTCTTAAAATATAGATTTTATTTCATTTTAATCTTTTTTAATCGATGACTAAAATTTATATCAGTTCTAATTTATCTATCTTTTAAGGCTAAAAAATCTGATTAAAATCAGATTATAATAGTGCCATTATAATCGATTTTTAATCTGATATTTGATCTTTTTTTTTATGACCTTGTTTTTACATGGGGACATCCGCCATCGCAAGTCATGAATTTGTTCTTTCTTGTTGACTTTAAATGATCATTTTCCATTATTTGACTTATAAATTTAATTTTAAAGTCTCTTCAAATGAATGAACAAGAAATTCTAATGTTTCTTTTGGAAATTTATTTTTCATCTATCTACAAGAATACAATTCAACATATATATTTCTACATGGATAAGATGCACAAATTCTATCTGACATAAGTATTGAACAAGTTACAATAAAGAAAAAAAAAATATCTGACAGATAAGAACAATAATGAAAAAAGAAAAATATTTATAACCATTGACCAGTAAGAGATCGTTCGAGAAGAATATCATCTTGACCATCATCGGAAGGTGTACGTAATGTAATTGTACATGAAAATGTCATACCACGTTGTTTTATTGTTGGTAAAAATGCAATTGATAAAGGCATTTGTGAATGCGGACTAATGAAAAAGCCAAAAATAGAAAAAACATTTATCAACGAAAAAAAAAACTAAACTTACGGCAAATTCATAACACGTGCTTTACATTGAAATGGTTCAGTAACACCACTAATACGCACCTTAAAAACAAAAGAATAAATAATATAGTTGTTTTGTTCCTGAAAAATCTTCATACCATTTTAAATTGTCCATATCGATTTTGAACCGTAAAATGTTTTTTTTCACCTTTTTTTGTATAATTAAGACCATCTTCAACAACATAAAAATCAGGCAAGGGTGGAGGTGGTGGTGTTGGACTATTTTATTCAAGTAAATAAAATAATAATAATATATATAAAAAAAAAAAACTTACGTTCGATTTGATTCTGGTTCAATAGTTGTTTCTCCTTCTTCATTCATTTCATCCGTAGGCTAAAAAGAAATTAATTTAATAAAAAAAAAAGTTGGAAAAGAAAAATCTTAACCATTTGTGATATATCTTCAATTGCTTTATTGTCATTATTAATATCATTTTCATCAATCATAGATTTATTATTATTCTTATTTTTATATCTATTTAAATTTAAAAATAGAAAAAAAGAAAGAAGTAATTTCAAAATAAGCAAAAAAAAATTAATCATACAAATGACGTGTACGTGGACTTTTTTGTATGGAAACAGAAAGTGATTTACGACCTTGTTGAACATAAAATGATGCTGAAAGTCCTGCTAATTGTAATTGAGCAGCTGCTGCTTGACGACGAGCTATTGTTGTATCAAGAAGTGTATTATTATTATTAGTTGCAGCAGGCATTGTTAAACTTGCGCGAGATTGTTCAGGAGATTCTTGTAAACATAATATTGTTGCTAATCTATCTGTCATTTCTTGACTCCAATGATGAGCTTTTTCAAGCATTTTTTCAGTTTTTTTTGATGTCTAAACAAATTTAAATATTTATTTAAAATGTGAGAAAGAAAAACAATAAGAAAATATTTTTACGGCTGCAACTGAACCACTTGCAATTAATTCATCCATACGTTGTTGAAGATTACTCGACATTTCAGCACATTTGTCAATGATTTTTTGTTCACATCTATTATACATATAAATATATATATATATTAGCAGTTTCTCTTTATTGGTTTTTAAACAAAAAAGTACCTATGTTCTTCTAATTTTTTTTCCTCATATTTTTTAATTAATTCAATATTGGTATTTTTAGCAATAACCAATTGAGCCAATGTATTTTCTAGAAAAAAAAACAAAGTTACAATATATATAGATTAATGATAAACAAAATATTCTAATCGTATCTATTTATAAAGGTTCAATCATATTCTTATATTTATATTAAATAAAGTTTTCATCAGAAAATGGATAAGATACAAGTTTAATCTATATTAGTTAGAAAGAAAAAGTTGCGTTAATACTTCACTCTCCTCTCACAGAGCTTTCGGACGGTCTACTAATAAAATAACTTTATAAATAGGGTATTAGCTTGTCTAATATTCTAATGATATGGTCTAATCCATTGAGTGCCCATCTCATTTGTAGGGCAGTTTGATGAAAGAAGGGTATTAACCGACGTACTAAACTAAGCCTTGGGTGTTTTTTCTTTGATCATATTTTATTCAATGGGCAAAACCAACATCAATCCCAAGTTGTTCTAGTGATAAGAAAACGACAGAATAAACTGAAAGGCACTAATCTCAAAAGAATACATATGCTCTTGACACATCTTATTAAATATTTATTATGCATTGAGCTACTCTATAACCTTTGAGGACATTTGATTCATAACAAATACTATTTCAACTTATCGTGAATTGAGAATTATAGTACATATATTGAGTTTGTTCTTGATTGCTCAATAATGACTCCATGGTCACTTATATGCCTTCGTATGTATTGTTCGTAGAGTTGCTGTCAAGCTTTCGAAACAAATCTAAATCACTGGTGGACTTCTTCATCGAATTATATCACAGAGAAATTTTGACAGAACTCTATTGAATATACGTAGAGAACATTTTGTTTCGAAAGATTTGATTTTTTTGGTGGCTGTTGTGTCGGCTCGACATGTCAAAGACGGAGTGATGAAAAAATATCCTTTTTACTAGTTAATAGCCCATGAAGTACACTAAGAGCATGCTTTTATCGTTTTCAAATCACATGCTTCCTTTATTTTCTGCAATTGTTCTACAAATGATTAACCTAATAACCGACGGGATGTAAAAAGTTAAGTGTGTTATTCAGAAAATCGTTTTCAAAGTGACATATCAATACTTTAAATCATACAATGATAGTCAATATTTCATGTTACCAATACAAAAGTCTTCTTAATTGGTCTAGAATTCAAAATAGACATGATTATTTCACATAAGTGTAGACGAGCATCGAATTAGGAAAATATTCGAACTCGAAATCGATTGGAATATCGCAGAAAGATATGTGAAAGACATCAACAGTGATACAGAGTTCTTTCAATTTTTTTACTATTCATGAATCCGTCCACCGATATTAGGAAAAGAGTTCATATCTATATCTCACAAATTTTTTGTGAAACATGATCTAATAGGAGTGTTCAGGCCAGAGGTGCAGAATCTTTCTCATGCGCCCCCACGTGGGAGGAGAAATTTTTTGAAAAACTCAAACAATAGGGAAATTTTCCAGAAAATTTTTTGTGTGGAAGGAAATTTTTGGATTTTTGGAAGGTTTTGCACCTCTGGAAGCAAGACAATTAATTTGGTTCATTCGTAAAACTTATTTTACTTTTGAGTTTCGCAAATTCATCAATAACACTTTCAATATTTTATTCCTGAGCGATTTTTTTTTATTAATATTGATGAGCGGCTACCCAGACTTATTTTTTCTGCGGGATTTATTAATTATGATGATGATATTTGATCATACCCTAACCCACATTCTTATCAACACCCACATAATATACTCACTCATACCAACACCTTGTACGTATTGAGAAACTGTATGAGATTTATTTAGAAAGGCTTAGGGGTTTATTGAAAAATTCCAGTAGCTACTGATACTGATAACAGCTAAATCATTCAGTGGTTCTTCACCTGTTCGATTGCGCATACTAGTATCCTTCAGATTTTGCCTCACTGTTTGCAATACTTCTATAAAAAGAAAACTTTTTTTTATTACATATGAATCAAAATTTAGAGCGAAATACTTGTGATTCGCCATATATTTAATTCACAATAATCATTACCATTAAGGAGTCAGTACAAAGAAACATTTTACACTAATTGATAAGTACATATGTTGGTTCAAGCACACATATATGCAAAGAACGCTGTATTGATGTTTAAAAACCATTGATCTTACAAATTGATAGCGAAAATTTTCCATGTGGCGGCGTGAGAAATCGGTACCCATAGTCCACCCTCTAGCTGCATCACTGGGAATGTTGAACTATAGAGGTGGAAGGATGTATCCCTGCGTTGTTCCACAGACATTACGATGGAAACATCATAGACTATGTCGATATACGATCAGTCATCGTATATAAATAACATCTCGTTTCCAAATATGACCTACTTCCATAGCACATTTCTGAAGAATTAAGTAAAAAGTTGTGAAGAAATGTATCTCATAATAGATGGCATACAGCAATTTTCTTGTGATTAACAACAACAGTTATTTCGTGTTTTAGATTTTAATCATGCAGGAATTGTGCTAACAGTTTTATATGTGTAACAATTACTAGATAGTCCAAGTGCTATGAAATGATTTTTATACCCGAGTTGATGCTGAGGTTGAATCGAGTTATTTTATACTCAATACAATTCTCTATTTAGTAAATTTTGTCAGATGAAAGTTTAAATTATTTATTTTAGCTTTTCGTCTATTAATAAAGAAACATATGAGTGTAGCGTCTGAGAATGAGTTCAAAAGCATTATTTCTATTAGAGACTTCGATGAAAATCTCGAATATTAATGCCACCGGCTCGGTCTTGAAAATCCAAATTGTTTCAATTTTTAATTTTTTTTAGATTTTTTCTTGTCACCATTCGTCTGACCAAGTAGTTTTCTTTGGAAACAGCAACTTGATGTGAACATAAATCGATATGAATGAGTCATCTCGATATCACAAGTGAAAGTATCAAATCTATTTCTCTAACTTAATTCTCTATCTAGTAGTACATCGTCATGTTATCGAAAATGATAAGCCATCGATTAGATTATACAGAAAAGTAATATACTTAATGTCTACGATAAGTAAAAATATTCCAACAAGAGAAACATGAGAAATATGTCACAGTCATATGAGAAAAAAAAGGAAAGATCAGACAGATGTCATGGATGCATTAAATGAATTATTACTTCTATTTATTAATAGCTGTTGACTTTTAAAGAAGCGTCGATTTAGGGGGTGGCGTCCCCTTTAGCACCATAGCCTTAATACATTAGATCTTTTGCTGTATATAAAAAAAAATAGGAAAGGAGAAAAAACATAAAAAAATTCAATTTGAATTTGACACCAATGTACTAAACTACCAAAAAATGAAAAGTTAGATACTCTTGTTTTTTCCAGACCCCTAACAGATAGAATGCTTTCCTATTCATTATTAGAAGGCGCACTTAATAGGTTTCCTCGTGAGTGATGGAACATTTAAAACAATCATTCCTCGTTAAGTTTCTTTTCCTAGCAAAAAACAACAAATAAACTTACGTCGACGTCGTTTAAGTGCTGCATTAACAACCATATTTATAATTTGTTAATAATAAAAAAAAATAACTTTTAAAAATAAAAGAAATCTAAAACAACAAACATACATGATTAAAATATTTATTTTAAAATCTACCACAACAAAAAATAATTGATAATAGATTAAAATAAAATATTCACTCAAATACTTCTCGAATTGCACTGTCCGACAAAAATACACCATAGAACTGTTTATATATATATATATATATAATATAAATATAACACAAAAAAGACAACAAATCGACAATAAATATGTTTCCACAAAAAAACCAAAGACTCTTTTAACCCGTAAGTAAATCATTCTCATCACCAGTTCCAATAACTATTGGTTGATTAACTTGATCAATAGCTCCATAATTTCCTTGTTGTAATCGCTCATGTGTTGAGCTACGACGAACAGTTGTAGTAAATTCTTCATAACATGCATTTAATACAGTTGGAATATAATTCTAAAAAATTTTAAAATCAATTCAAACGTTTTATTTATTTTTTTTCTATCAAACAAAATAAAAAATCTTTACCGATGTTACTCGTTTTGTTTCACCACCTTCAGTTTCTTCTAATTCCCCTACATCATTCAATTTTTGACGAATACTTAATGTCTATAATAAAAAACAAATAACATATCTTCGAAATTCTCTAACAAATTAACAATCAATTCAAAACAAAAAAAAAACGAAGCAAGATAAGGGAATTGCAAAGATCCGAATCCATTAGATAATAATACATATCTTCTTCTTACACTAGTATTTATTTTATTTAATAAATTATATATAATTGCATAGGGAAGAAAACAAGTGCTGACCTCAGGTAATCTTTCTCTTGATGATGAATATCTTTTTGAAGTCCATCGGCCACAACAATCAAAACATGTAAAACCAATATAAACTCCACCTAAATAGATTATTTATTTTATCTATTTAAAACATTAAAAAAGTAAATATCTACTTGTTAGAATAAAACTTCCCAATAATATCATTGATAAAGCAGTCAACGATTCTATAAAATATTTATAAAAATAAATTAAAAAAGAAAATTTTTTTTTTGTTTTTCAATAAAACGAACCAGATCGAACAAAAACAAAAAATAATAATATTAATTGTTGAATCATTAATGCAACTATGATAAAATATCCTGCTAAACGATGAACACTTTTATCAGCTATTTCAGTATCATAAACAAAAACTAAATTATATTTATCAACGGCACGTTTTATTATCATATAGATCAAACCTATTTAATATTTCAATTAGTTTATTATTTATTAAATTAAAATATTTACCAATTGGTGTTATTAATGGACATATTATAGAATAAGCAAGAATAACACTAAATACAGCTCCTGTCCAAGCATATTGTACACCAAAACGGAATGGAAATTGAAGAGCCTAAAATTATTTTATGAATATATATGTAAATCGTATTCATTTTTTCATTTAAATATTGAAGCTGTTTTGATAAAATGGGTAGACCGTAAATAATAGCATTATTTGTATTTCGTGCTTTTCTCGCCTAGCATTTCATTGTAGAAATTGTGTTTAGCCTCGAGAGATTTTCCTTTTCAATTATCTATAAAATTATTTTCGGACCCTTTATTTGAACTTTCGATTTAGAAAATCGACCAAATAATATTTCGCTTCTACAACATGTAAAATTTTCTTGAAAGTTTTTTCTTATCATAAGATGAGTATAAAGCATGGCATAGATATTTTTTAGTATGATGAACTTAGATTTTTCTCGTTATATACAGTGAAGCTCGTTCTAGCTAAGTATTATGACACAGAAACTGACTTATTGAAACGAAGTTCAAAGCAGACAAAGTCTTGTCTCATGCAAATATACAGTTATTTTCTCGTTATGAGGATTCGGAGTAATGCACCAGTCCTCTGTACTCAAACTATAAAAATATAAACTCAATAGATTAAGTTTTGAAAGTCTTTTTACCAGTGTCTGAATATTCGAAAACTATTAATTTAAAAACATGAATGTTGTCAATTTTCGAAAAAAGCATTCTCCTTCTAAGCAATGAGAATTTATATGAAAAGAGTTTGATTGCTGAAAGACAGAGCCTTTTGTAGGCTACAAAAGAGCGTCTAAGTTTTTCGAAAGACTCAAGTTGCAAGCATTACAGAATAGTACTTGTTGGTCACTTTTATACTGAAAGTTCTGCTGGCATTTTGTAAAGAATTTCAAGAGGAATATTTTGAGACTATGTACACATTTCTACTACGAAGATTGATCGAGAAAAGTACAAAATAAAAATAACGACATTAGTTATGGTGCACTCATTATCGTCAAGCTATTTTTCATGCAGTTATTCGCATTAGACTTCTGATACGTCTAGTGATAAGGAATTGTTTTGATTGTAAGTTAAAACAATATACATATATTATTTTAACCATTGCCAAAAAGAAATTTTAGAATACTGATCACGGACAATGATTACAATTCATAGGAAGAAATAAAACGAAAAGTACAAAAAGGAAGATAATATGACTGAGTCACCGTTTCAGTTTTAGTGTTCGAGAGTATTGGAATAGTGGTGATATCAGTATCAGTACTTCAGTATTACACACTGGTACTAGCATATTATTGAACAATCACAAATTACAATGCAAATAAGATAATACATGAATTCAGTGTTCATGTAAATGAATTATCCGAAAAGTTGAGACATTTGAATTGTGATGAACTGGATAGGAAACTCAACTATAGTACTGAATGAAAAGATGCTCAGATGTGTTTCGCAATTTTTGAAAGCCTTTGAATACATTGTCTCTTTACATCAATCGTATTTTCATTCTATATAACTAAATAAATTCTTACATGTTGAATAAATTTTCGTTCAGCTGTTGATTTAGCTGTTGCGATTGCATAAATATAAGAAATCAAATCCGGTAGACGTAATAATTCAATAGCAGCGCCAATAAATGTTGATGTTATTATATAATTGACAAAAAAGGCTCCATTATCCGGTAAAAATACACACCTTTAAAATAATAATAAAAAAACAAAGAAAGCAAATTAAATTAGTTTAATAATTCAATTAAACTAACATCCATCGAATTCTGCCACTATCTGTAACATCATCATCACTTTGAAAAACCCAACGAAGAAATCCTTCAATACTTGTTAAACCTAATGATGGTAAAATAAGTATCATCATTAAAAGAAAAACAAATAATTTAATCATCATTGATTTTTCTAATTTTGATTTTTTCCATTGTTTTTCAAGTAATGATGTTACACTAACAAGTGATGGCATTACAGCAGCAAATAAACGTAATAATAATACAGGTACTACAGATGTTAATATAACTGGAACATGAAGTTGATTTGTTACTGTTTTTATTGAATCTAATGAACGATATTTATTAATAATTTTATCGATTGTACTTATTACAATTGATGGAGTTGTTAAAAATATCATAAACAGTACAAGAATCTAATATTTAAATGAAATCTTTAAACGAATTAAATATATTTAGCAATCATACATACAATATTAACGATGATAATACGAAACCAATGATTAACTTGATTCACTGGAATATTTTTCCTGAAAAACAAAATCAAATGAAGAATATTGTTGTTATATGACGTGCGTTTTAGATTTATTCAACATAATGATCCTTGTTCCATATTGCATTCTCAATATGTTCAAGTAAGTAAAATACTGATCAACTAACATGAAAGCTCAGGATGAAGTAGTTTTTAGAGTGAAAATACCCAGTATTATTTTACATTGATTCCTACCATAATCTTTACTTATTTGACAAGTATATAAATCGATCTTCGATATACGTTTATCAAAAATAAAGTGAAATAATCTATGGCGTGAAAGTCTTCGGACAAAACATACGCTGACTTTTCAGTCATTACAGACTATTAGTTATAATCAGAAGTAGTTAAGTAGAATTAGACTTTTTTGTTCTTCCTGAAAGCCAAAAAATGAATAAATATTTTCTGCGAAGACTTTCGGCCCATAGCGAGAAGTTCACTAGAAATTAAATTTATTTCGTTTTCCAGTATCCCTCTTCAAGTTAATATGACTTTCATTAATTTTACTACTTTTAGAGTATGGATGAGAGAAAGATCTCATTTTCACCTACACCTTAAAGAGACTTAGAAGAGTAAAGTTTATTAAAGTCATAGTAGCGTGAACAGGCGTAAAATAAAACGGGGTAAATTTAATTTCTTGTCGACGTATTACCCGTCGCAAGCTATGATTGATGAAATTAAAGAAAATCTATTTATTACCAAATAATATTTTTTGGACTTGGTGCAAATTTGACTTTCCATTGATAAATTCCAAGTGTTTTACTTGTTGATGTTTCCGGTCGATGATTTCGTGCAAAACATGTTCGATGAAAATCGGAATAAACTCTGCAAAATAAAATCATAATATGCTCATTAAATCTAATCATAAAGTATAAAAACATACTTATGTGCTTGTTCGACTGTTGAAAATGTTATAAAAATTAATCCACATTTTTTCTCTTTTACATGTGCAAACTCATCTTCTACGTGTTGTTTATAATAATTATATAATTTTTCGTAATACTCAATTGCATCAATCTAATATTAAGGAATAATTTAACCATATATTATTGTTTATATAATAACAAACCTCTTTAGCACAGCACTATAAATATAATAATCAATGAAAATCTTTTCAAAGCTATGCATACTTACACCACACATTTGTCCGAATTTATTATTATAAACAGTAGGACGTTTACCTGTTTGTTCATACATATGTTTACTTTGTTCCCAAATACGAAGATTGAGTTCCCTAATAAAAATTATTGTTTTTAAATCAAAACCAACTCAACGAACGAACAAACCGGTGTTTATAATAATGTTGTAATTCAACTATATTATAGACCAATGTTAAATGTGTTATTTCCAAGGTTGGATATGCTTCTCTATTAATTCCAATAATTTTAATTAATTATTTTATGTCTTCTTAACTTACCGAAAATAATCTTTCACCTTTTCTTCATCACATGCATTTTGAGGAATTCCACGAATCATTAATGTTCGAGTAGCCTTAATATACAAAAATAAAACTTAATCATAAATTAATAAAATCCATTACAAAAAAACAATATCAACAGTATTGCATTCCGAACAATGATCAAGGACTATGTTTTCCCAGAAATCGAGTTTGTTTCTTTCCTAATTACTGAGCTGCATTAGTCCTTGTCGTTTCAAATAATCTCTTTGAAAAATAAAACACTGCACATCAACTATACAGACAACATAAAACTCTACTTTTTCTTTTGATTCTTCATCTTCATACTAAGAATTTCGAAATAATATTTAAAAATGAAACATTTTCTTTTTATTTCTACATACCATATCTTCCGTAGTATAATATCGTGTAGTATTTTTATACAAATAAACTACAATAATCCCAACTAATACAAATAATATCGATGTACATGCATGTACCCAAAGTAATGATGATCTTTAATAATAAAATATTCTTTTGAATTATACATTGAAATAAAACCTTACTTTGGTGATAAATTCGCAATAGTCGTATGAGCAAATGTTTGTTTGCTTCCTCCTAAAAGTCAAACATCATTAATATTAATTAAATGTTTCTTTTCAATTTATCAAACCTAATGTTCCTTGAAAATTAACTGGTAATATAACTGCTAATGAAAATATCATCACGAAAAGTAAATACACAATTAAATATGTATGATATAAAAGATAATAGTATGCATCTACTGAACAGTTTTTATATATATCCCGATCACTAAATCATAAAATATTATTCGAACAAAAAAATAACATAAAAAATTTGTTCTATACATACGTGATTATAAATAGATCTCGAACCCATAACCAATGTGTCTAAATTATAAAATAAAAGCCTTGTTTAATTTAAAAAATAAAATTCCGCAGCCCAAGCAAGAAAAAAAAGCGTATGCATTAATTAATCTGACATTTACTATTCTTTACCATGCAATATTGATGCAAATAGGATCCTCTATTCTATTGAAAATGAACAAAATAAATAATAAGCATCTATTTATGTTCTATTATGTATGTAATGCATACAACAAGCGGTGTAAAATAATGAAATAAACAATTTAGATAACTTACATTGTGAGTAAGATGTCGTGATGAATTATTTCGTCCATAAAGTAAATTTGATATTCTAAAAAAAATTGAATTCTTGTTTAAAAAAAATTTTTTTTTCTTTAAATTCTTTACTCTGATCCATCTGTAATGTTTTTCGCATCAGAAAACCGACGTCTTAAATAAACAAATAGTAATAAGAGAATCTAAAAATGAAAATGTTCTATAGTTTTTATTTTTTGAAATTTGTGTTTCATACCGCTGAGATGATAAGATTAACGAGAATATTTTCTGGGATTCCTTCATAGGAACGAATAATACCGAAACCAGTTGAGTTTAGACGACCATAATATGAACAATTATCTTTAGTAATATTTGAGGATTTATCATTAATTAATGATAATATGGTCATTTGTGTTGATAAACCACGTAGAATATTCATTGGTCTTGTTAAATTTAGGTTTAACACTTTAAATAGTTTCTTTCTTATATTGATATTAGATTTATATGAATAATTATATTAAAAGACATCTAAAAGAAAATATCAATTTCAATTGTAGTATTAAAAGTATGTGTTTTTATGCTCAATAATTATTTTCCAACATCAAAATTTTTTTTTAGCCAATAATAATAAGATCAAAGATGGTAGAAGTGTATTCAATTAGAAGTAAAAGAAATTGACAAAGAGGTTTATCGTTGTTTCTGCCAAGCGGCTTTCGGAACAAAGAAATTAACTTTCAATTGGACAAGATTCTTCATTATTCTATCACATCAAATTGTATATCATGGATGTCGCTAGTGTATAATACCATCGTGTATACTCCTTGCATCTTAGAAAATGTATATATATGCTCGAGATATTTGAATCTACGAACATTACTCGCTATAAATAATTGTCGAGAAATTTATAATAATACGAAAAGGCTTTTTTAAATAAATACGTCTACGCAGATGAATAAGTTAAACTGGTAGCAAACGAAAAAGACTTAAGATGCTGTTAATAAACTGAAAATTGTCATAAAGAAGTACATATTTTTCTCATATATACAAGAGAAGAAGTTCTTTTTTAAAAAATTAAAAATGTTACAACCACAGATTTTCATGAAATTATGTCAGAAGAAATTTTTATAGAAAAGGTGAATCAAGAAAAAAAAGCATTTTAATTTTAGTTTACGTCGAAGTCATTTGATCCCACAGTCAAAGCTAACATCTGATGTAAAACGAAAAGTAGCCGAAAGTTCATTATTAAGTACTAAAGTTTGCTTGAAATAGTCGATGAAGTAGTAATGTGTGAACATTTTCAGGCGTTGTTTATATAACGTGTTACTATCTTATTAGAAAAATCAAACTAGTTTTAATATTAGGAAGATACTCAATGATATTACAAAAAATCAAATCCTTTCCTCGCATAAGTAACAAAAGCTGATGAAATAATATTAATTTTGTATTTTTCTGTATCTTAAAAGTAATTATTTTTTGGAAAGTAGTAAGGATTCACTTTTGTTTTACACAGTTATACTATGAAAATTAGAAGCACTGCTCATAATTTCCAAACTGATTAGTTATTATTTTGAATTCAGTCGAAAGTTCGATTCGAAAAACTTTTTTTGTACTGCTATACATTTTTCGGCTATTATTCCTATCCACCAATTTTTGCTTTCTCACTTATTCAAATCAATGGCATTATTGATCTATTGCAACATTGATATTATTTTCTTTGACTGTCGTAGAGATTGCTTGTACAGTATCTTTGCTTTTGTATCACATTGTTTTTCTAGATCAAATAGGCATGATCGTGAACGACGATATATATGAAGAATTACGACAATCTAAATGGTCCTATAGTGCAATCGTATATCATTGTGTCGTACACTGAGAAATACAGTGGTTTATAGAGAAAAAAAGCTCGTTTATTTCCTTTGTACATTGAAATCGTATACAGTTATAGAAATATACGATTGTTATATGGTTCCATGTAATACAGCAAAATATTGTTCTATGCGGAAAGATACGAAAGGTATACGGATTTCGTATTCTTTTACCTGGGTTCTATTAAAATATGCGAATTAGTAATTTTCTAATTGATAGCTTGATGACAGAATATATCAAACAATTGAAGTTCTGCAGACAGAGTTAGACTATATTAGATTGATTATTGTAATTTGTATCGTATCCTATTGTAACTTTTTGTTTTTTCAACGAGTAATCAAATTCACTGATCCATTTTCTAACTTAATTTTTATCTTGAAAACTTGTACAGAAGTAAGGGTGCCCCAGCGAAGGACGAGAGAGTAATTCTGTTTCAATCTTGAAAAATTGTTGTTTTCATCGAGAAGAGTTTCAGTGTTTTATTGGGTTTTTTCACTCACCAATTCTTAAAAAAAACGTGTATCCCTTAAAATCCGATCAAACTTTAGCAAAAATATTCTGATCGGTCTCCTGAATCATCGACTTCCTCTCAATCTTGGCAGCTTTAATACATTCCTGGATAGAAATTTATAATGAAATCAAATTTGATTTATATGTTTGATATGAATGCAATCTATTTTTTGTTTTGATAACTGTATATACCAATATGATTCTACAGAAAATCAGACAAAAATAGAACTACTAGAGCCAGATCAAACCATTTTGTATGCTTGAATAAAATAAAGAAATCTTTTCAACTGATATTCTTTTGCGTCAATTCAAAAGACTGCAATGAACATATATTATATTGAAATGTTAAGCTGCTGGTTTAGCAATTAAAAAAGCATCCGATTCAATATTACACATGTTGTTACCACGTTGTATTCTAACGTAACCATTTTCTCCCCATCCAATACCCCATGAGTTACGTAGTTTCCAATAATCTAAGTTCGTTACTGGATCATGTCCATATCCAACAATAACCATAGCATGATTATTATTAGCTGCTGATGTTATACATCCATTTACTTGGAAAATTCCACCTGTATAACTTTGAAATGCATGCATAATATTGCCTGCAACAGTTGGATCTACTGGACACTTTGCTTTTGCAGTACCAGAACAGTCTGAACCGACATATAAACTTACCCATAAAGGACCAAAAGTAACAAGTGCTTCTTGCATAGCTGATGCATTTTTTGGTGTTAGATGACGATAAACTAAATTACCAACAGACCATCCATTAGTTGTTTTGGCTGCGCAAGTAGAAGCAACAGCTTTGTAAGGATAACTTAAAGCACTATCCAGATACCAATTGTAATTTTGTACATAAGCAAATGATGTATCAAAATAACCACCAATACATCCATAATCACCTGTTGAACAATCAACAATTTGTTGATCACTCATATTAACTGCTTGTCCATAATGAAATGCATATTGAGCTTCGAATAACGCAATTATAGCAAATGCATAACAACTTCCACAATATCCTTGATCTCTAATTGGTCTTATAATTGATACATTTTTATTTAATGCTGATACTTGTGTTGTATAATCAAATATACCAGGTGTGGATGTAGGTGTGGTTGTAGATGTGGGTATGGGTGCCCGTGTGGATGTGGTTGTAGATGTGAATATGGGTGCCCGTGTGGATGTGGTTGTAGATGTGAATATGGGTGCCCGTGTGGATGTGGTTGTAGATGTGGGTGGTGGATGCTTTCTTTTTTTGGATCCTTTGCTTTGTTGTGTTCGAGAAAAAGTCATTGTAACATAGTTGGCTCGTGCTATCGATGGTGGTGGACGATTACCACGAAGAACTTGTAATTCGGATGGTGTCCAATCAGAATATTGGTTAAGACCACGTGTAAATGTGAGATTTGGTTGAATATTATTTTCAACTGCTGTTTTAAGTCTATTTTGAAAAATCTGGTAATGTACTGTTTCATTATTGGGTGCTTGATATCGACGAGGATGATAATTTCGAAATGATTGAAACATTGAACTTATAAATGTTTCATTTGAAAGTAACCCACGTTTATCCGATACTTTCTGTAAATAATTCGTGAGCATTATTTGAGTGGGATCTTCTGCTATTACTGGACATGATATAGCAAGGAGACAAATAAAGAGTATAAACTGTTTCATATCCGTACTAAAAACTGTAACTTGATTAAAAAACATATATATTACTTCTTATATATATATATAATATTTATGTTAGAGAAATGGTAACATATGCATCACTTAGTACTGATATATTAATATTTTCATTAGTGGTACCATATGGATATGTATTTTGTATGTAGCAATATTGAAAAATCGATATTTTTCAAATACTTCAATTTATGGGCCAATATTATATTAGTCTAATTTCTTTTGTTGTTATAAAAAAACTAAAAGATCATATGTAAATACAAAATTTTTTCTCATTTATAATGCAAATACTTTCTTTTGGGTTAATCACAATTGCATGATTTGATTAAATCATTATGAAAGTAAGAAAGATTCTGAATATTTCTAATAAACAAAAAATTCATCTTCATATTAAGGGCACTTAAGTTAAAAGATAATGTTAATATGATGTACAATAAAGTAAATTGAAATACATGACAAATGAGTGTGCTGTACAAAGCTCGAAAGGAAAAATATCGAAATCAATAAATATTAATAAGAGGGTGTGGGTGTAAGTACGAAAGAAGAAAAAAGCTACAGCCACATGCACAGCAGAGATGGAATCAGTTCAAATTTTTCAAAGTTTAAACCAAATTGAGATCGATTTGAAAAGCTGCGAACTGAACTGATTCTATCTCTGATGCACACCTACATCTTCAAGAACGCAAGAAGAAAAAACAATTGCAATTCAACATTTTATTGACAGGCTTGATGAACGATATTATGATGGTTTTATAAATGTAATGGAATATTCAGATCGTTTATCATTTGTAGTGACACTAAATGGAAAAAATGACACTAATTTTCTTTCTTGACTATTATATATGATCTCTGTTAAAATATTAGTATTTTGTCATATAATAAAAAATGTATCTTGTCAGTCTAAATCTTCTATAGCACTGTTCGACTTTTCTATAGCCAACCAACGAATGAATCAAATTTTATTGGCAAGGTGAGTTTATGCATGGATATATAAAATTTAAAAGTGAAAAAAACAATTTCTATTATGTCAATTACATGTTACAACTTTCACTATCTATTGGACCGAACAGACTTTGTGATTACTTTAATTGTCAGATTTATCAGTGGACTAACTTCTGTTAGACATTGTTTTCGAAAAGAAGATTAAAATGAAATGTGTAATTAAATTGAAGATACACAGAAAAAATGTGCTAATTTCTAAATAAAAATAGTTTTCATTCTCTTCAGAAATGGAACAGTCGAATGCATAAGACAATCGACGAAAGAGTCGAAAATTGATGACATATTGTTAGTTTTAATAGCTTTCTTAAAGCAACTCCCGAAATAAATGAAAGTTATCTCGAAATTTCGAGTGATTTTTATAAAAAATTTTAATGAATAAGGAATAATTAACTGTATAATGGTAAGTCTACGAAATGAACTGATAAACAGCCCAAGTAATCCATACGCACTTATTATTCAATAAGTTGAATTGTCGAATGTTCATCTGGAGAATTTCATGATTAGGAGATTGATGCTAGAGTGTAATGCAAATTATTCATCTGATTAATGAATAGAGATATTTGTGTTATAAGTTAATAAAATTAAACATGGCCACAGAGCAAGAAAATTTTTCGAGAGTTTTCCATTGAAAACTGTGACATTGGACAAAACACTCTAGAATGAGAGAAAAATAAGAATTGGGTGCCGCAACAATTAGTCGTAGTGTAGTACTAGTTGCATGTTCGATAAAAACGTGTTTCCTTTTCACATTTTACAAATCTCAATTTGTACACATGTGATTTAATCTTACATAGCACAGCGTTCGAATGAAGGGAACATGTGAAAATTAAACATGTATCCTATGAAATAGATAAGCAAAAGATCTCATCGTAAAAGTTTGTTAGAGCAGCTCCTTTGGAGCTGAAATGTGGGACTCACATATTCTCTCTAGCCTCACTAAACGAATAGAAAATACTTAAAGTGATAAATCTCTCGTAGACTAAAGCTGTTTTGCAGGATAATTGATATTCAGAATAATGATCTCTCTAATTTCTGCATTTCGAGCAGAATTTTTTTATTTTTTTAAATTTATTTTTCTTAAAGTAACCTTCTTATTATTATTATCATTGAACTAATTGACAAATAAGTCTATTTTACATATTCATGATATCTACAGCAGATCGTACGCATCATCATATATATTAATCAACTCACAAACAATAATATTCATATGTACACTCATATCCAGTGTTTATTGTCCTGGAATAGATTGTTAATTATTTTCTTGGCTTCTGTGAATTATTTACCTGTAATGCTAATAAGTTTTTTTTATCAATTATAATTTCTTGTATTGCAACGAATTTTGCACCACAGCTATTTGTCGTAGTGCCCGATTGTCTTTGTGACACATCGACAACGCCCAATTGTCGTTTGATGAATTTTCCATAATTCCAGTATGAGCCGTTTATTATCTATATTCAATTGTGATAAAAAGCATTCCTAAGTGTTGCAATGTAATCGAAACATTTCTTTTTTCATGTTTTTCTATATTGTATCTACTGTTTATACTGACAATATGGTTATTTAAAATTGCAATACTCATGCCGAATTTATATTTTTTATTATTATTGAGCATTGAATTCTTTAGAATCTATACAAAACAACTTTGTTGAAAGTGACTTCTAATGATAATGAAGCTCGTGAATATTGGTGTGAGAATAGTTTCTCTTCCTCAGCTCTTTTTAAAAGGTTTCAACGAGTTTAAATTTTTGTTTTTATATCTGAATTTAACTGGTTTCCCATTCAATCGCTTAAATCTTTTTTCTAAACTTTCTGATAACTTTTCAGCATCGAGAGAGTCATTATAATCGTAGTTCTTTATGAATGAATGAATGAATGTTAGTGCAACGAACTTGGTGCAAATTAAAAAAAATTCTCCTTTCGTGTGAACCGTTCTTTTCACGCAACAATCGGCAAGTTTTTTTTTTAACAATTTTTTAAATGATTCAGTCATGTCTTATTAACAAAAAAAAAAATTAATAAACTACTATAAACGAAGAGAACTATTCCATCCACTTTACTGTCAATAATAATTCATAATTTCGTTCTTGCTTGTCACACAATTATGACGCGAATTTTCAGTCTTTATTAATTATCTGCTTTTTTTTGTCTAATGATAAATAAATCTCATATCGACCAATATGAAGAGAAACAAACCAAAAAGAACTGTATTTTAATCGTGAAGATGATTTGCGACAACGAATTTTTAAAAATTTCTCTTACTATGAATTAAACGATATATGAAACAGTAATGTGATGCGTTGAACAATTTTAAAAAGTTTTGATTTCTTTTTTTTTGTGCATATCGAATATTGACCGTTTTGTCTGGGTAATCGTACAAATGACACTATATCTGTTTGATTGAAGATTATTATTCAGTGATTGATCAAATTACATTAATCATATCTTTCATTCTTTACAATTTAGAATCTCAGTCGAATATACTGAATGATTAATCATAAAAACGATCTTCGCGTTTAGCAACTAAATTTTTTTATTATTGACGAAGAATTCAGTTCTATGTTGTCTTTTAACAAGAGAATATGTTGATATTGATGTTGCTATGTTCAATGATAAACATATCTTCACAGTATCAGATCGTTTTTCAAAAATTCATTTTATTCTTAATTATATCTTTGAGATTAACATAAAAAAGCATTTGTTCTTTAAATATATATTTTGACATACATAATTAAATCTTAATTTATGCTCATGGTTGAAAATTGAACATGAACGATTCTATTCAAATGTGTACACAATTGATTTTTTAAATATATGATTTGACAGATGATTGTCTCTTCAAAGTAACTCAATTATAAAATTTATTGTATTCGAAGATTTCGTTTTCATTGAAAAGAAAATATTTATTCACTTGAGAAATATGTATGTAATAAAACTACAATTTTTCATGCTATTAATCATTAAACAGAATGTCTTGCTTAATTTTGTATATAAAACGATACTCAATCATCATAATATCCAATGATGTTTTACATAAAATCGAATACATGACTGTTATGACACCTTTCTTTCAATTGGAATTAAAATGAAAAAAAAAAACACTCATCGCTTCTATTCGAGATACTTAAACAAACAATGTGTAGAAAGAAAAAGAAGAGAGAATGCTATAAGTACAATCGATAAGAGAAAAAGAGTGAAGAACGAAGGAAAGGCAGGTTCGTATGTATATGTGAGTCAACTAGCCAGGCGACGAGCTTAAAGCAAATAACAAAGAAAAGGAGAGACAGAAATTGATCTTGATCCTGGTTGTTATAGCTGCACACCTTTAAGATAATGTACGCGATGTCGGTCACTATTTTATTGTTCAGACAGCTAAAATAAAGTGGAGAAAAAGAGTACATAAATGTAAAATTATTTTGATAAATTAAATTATCTACATAAAATTTAATTTCAAATGGCGAGTAATGAAACATTTCCTCAAATAGCCTATCCAATTCGTGTTATTTTACCTATTGTTTATACCATCATTACCGTAATTGTTCTTATCGGTAATACATTGAATTTTTATTCGTTATGCATTAGTACCGATCGATTTGGTCGAAAAAGTATTCATGTACTTATTTGGAATTTAATTACTGAAGGAACAATATGGACATTAATATTTTATATTGTGAAAATGGTATCATATGCTGATTTAGGTGAACATTTTGCCTTAAATAATGGTAAATGGTTAAATGATTTATGGTGTAAATCCGAAATGTATATATTACGTATAATGGATTTTGTTCTTGCTTATACAATTGTATTTTTGTGTCTTGATCGTTGTGTTAAAAGAAAAAAATGCTGTTATGGTCAACGTCGTTTTGTTAGTGGTATTTGCATATCAATATCAATATGGCTTGCTATTTGTTATGCATTAATACCAATATTATTTTTTAATCAACAATTAAAATCATTAAATTATGGTTCATATGAATGTATTTATAATG